TTGAATCTCTGGTTGCAGAGTGCATTGGAATGGCTGCTTCATTGTCGTCATTTGATGTTGCCACGTGCGTAGATAGGTGCGGGTTTGCCACGGGATGTTGCGAAACGCATTGTAATGGCTGCATGAATGCTGCATGGGCTATGTTTTGGGGAGGAAGCCGGAGCACGAAACCTTGTGTTTTTCCGTATAAAGTGGCTGCAGGCGACGATGAAAGGTATACCTCGTCTGTGCGACGGGTGCGGCTGCGGTCGTTTTGTGCGCGAATTGTTCCTCCTATGTGTTTTGCAACGGGTGGTTGTGTCTGTGTGCGTAGTTCTTTGCGGTTCTTGAATCTCTGGTTGCAGATTGCATTGGAATGGCTGCTTCATTGTCGTCATTTGATGTTGCCACGTGCGTAGATAGGTGCGGGTTTGCCACGGGATGTTGCGAAACGCATTGTAATGGCTGCATCAATGAATGTTGCATGGGCTATGTTTTGGGGAGGACGCCGGAGCACCAAACCTTGTGTTTTTCCGTGTAAAGTGGCTGCAGCCGACGATGAAAGGTACCTCGTCTGTGCGACGGGTGCGGCTGTGCGGTCGTTTTGTGCGCGAATTGTTCCTCCTATGTGTTTTGCAACGAGTGGTTGTGTCTGTGTGCGTAGTTCTATGCGGTTCTTGAATCCCTGGTTGCAAATTGCATTGGAATGGCTGCTTCATTGTCGTCATTTGATGTTGCCACGTGCGTAGATAGGTGCGGGTTTGCCACGGGATGCTGCGAAACCTATTGTAGTGGCTGCGCCAAGGTTGCTCGGTGCTGCGGCTGCATGCGTAATACTATTGTCTTTTGCAGCTGAAGATCGTAAATCGTATTGGAATGGCTGCATCAAGGCTGCGAAAGTGAATTGTCAGCAGATTTTCTCAATTTTGGCGCTAATAATTTTCCTTTTAAAATTCCTTTTAAAAAGTGCTTCAAAATCGTCTTTTTGTCGCTTTGGCGTCGAGATCCCGGTTTTGGAGCTGCAATTTCCGACGCCATTGCACGTAGTTCTATTGTGTTTTGCAACTCAGTCTCTGCAGATCGCATTGTAGTGGCTGCGTCAAGGTTGCTTGGTGCAGCGGCTGCATGCGTAATACTATTCTCTTTTGCAGCTGAAGATCGTAAATCGTATTGGAACGGCTGCATCAAGGCTGCGAAAGTGATTTGTCAGCAGATTTTCTCAATTTTGGCGCTAATAATTTTCCTTTTAAAATTCCTTTTAACAAGTGCTTCAAAATCGTCTTTTTGTCGCTTTGGCGTCGAGATCCGGTTTTGGAGCTGCAATTTCCGACGCCATTGCACGTAGTTCTATTGTGTTTTGCAACTCAGTCTCTGCAGATCGCATTGTAGTGGCTGCGTCAAGGTTGCTTGGTGCAGCGGCTGCATGCGTAATACTATTGTCTTTTGCAGCTGAAGACTGAAGATCGTAAATCGTATTGGAATGGCTGCATCAAGGCTGCGAAAGTGATTTGTCAGCAGATTTTCTCAATTTTGGTGCAATGTGAAGTGTGAGGAAAGTGTTTGCATTCTACCGGGGTCGCGCGCAGGTCATGTTCTTGGACAGCAACACTGCAACAGCTTCGCACAAAGCACGCACGCACGGGCCTGGCTGGCGCACGGCGCATGCAAGTTCCTTAGTAGTATAGTACTGGGAAGTGATTCATGAAAGCTTAGGTGACATATGAGAAGAGATGAGATGAGAAGAGATGAGCTGGGATAAGGTGAGAAGAGCTCAGATGAGGTGAAGTGTGGAGTGTGAAGAGTGCAGTGTGAAGTGTGGGGCGTGAAGAGTGCAGTGTGAAGTGTGGAGTGTGAAGTGTGAAGTGTGGACTGTGAAGTGTGGAGTGTGAAGTGTGAAGTGTGGACTGTGAAGTGTGAAGTGTGGAGTGTGAAGTGTGAAGTGTGGAGTGTGCAGTGGGAAGCGTGCAGTGTGAAGTGTGGAGTGTGAAGTGTGGAGTGTGAAGTGTGAAGTGTGGAGTGCGCAGTGCGCAGAGTGCAGTGTGAAGAGTGCAGTGTGTAGTGTGGAGTGTGGAGACTGTCAAGTGTGAAGTGTGACGTGGAGCTTCAAATGTGACATGTGAAACAAGACATCAGTTTCGCAGAGTGCACGCACGCACCGGCTTGGCTGGCGCACGGCGCAGGCAAGTTCTATAGATGAGAAAGGTCTCATATATATCTTTAAGGCAACTTCCGCCCCGCCTCGTGCGGGTACTACTGGTAAAGATAGATACCAATAGGTATTACCCGGGATATTCAACTACCAATAGGTACTACTGGATGATCATAAATAATAGATAGAACATGCAATTTTTCAAGGGACAAATTCTTATGATGTACCCAAGAGTACCCAGGGTAAGCCACGATTCAGACTTCGGACCGGAATGGGGAATCCAACCCGGCCTTGATGATAACAACTATTTTCAGGTTAATTCTGACATAAATTCAGAATATGGTTCATTGCCCTCTTGTAAACTAACATACCTATGGAACATCACAATTTTTAATGGGAAAATCCACTATAAATGGCAATTTTCAATAGCTATGTGAGTTTACCAGAGGGTACTGTATCCAATGAATCCCATTAAATCCCATTAAAACCCATAAAATATCAATTAAAGTAGTGAGCCGCTGATGCCGATTTGTGTGCGGGGCAGAGTGCGGTGAAGGATGGGTCGCTCGAGAAGATGGCAGCCACCCAGCCCAGCTCCCAATCATGGCTTGTCCAAGTTTTTCGGTAAAGTTGACGCCCATTCAGGATTCACAGTTGCTTTCCGCAACATGCAATGAAGCGCCTCAAAAGCTGATGTAGTCGCACGTTCGAACGTTGGATACCGCGGTCGGCTTCGGTTCAAACGAGTCAAACCAACCTTTCCGGGGAAGTCTTTCTTTCACCCGCCAAAACCCATTTGACATTGGATGGCATTAAGAAACATGCGTTGTCTGGCAGTCCCCCATTGGGCTCTGCTCATTCTCGTGGGAAAACTTAGGTCTTCACCTACTCCTCTCAGCAGGCAACAGGTGTGGTGTTGGGAACGCAGCGCGTACAAGACACAGTCGCCGCTTGGGATGGATCAGGTGCTGCGGCTGGGGCCGGTAGTGGTCAGGAAGACTTGGCAGAAACCAGACGGAAGCCATGTGAAGGATCCCGTGGTTCATGTGGGCCGGTGGGAGCTTGCTGCAACATTCAGGAAGCGCAAAGCAGGAACTGTGGAGTGGCTTGATCCTGCATTGGTTTTGCGAGTAGTTTGTGGTGCACATTAAATATCCATTAAGGACCCATGACATATCTGACATATCTGACATATCCATGAAATATCCATGAAATATCCATGAAATATCCATGAAATCCCATTAAACACCCTTAAATCCCATGACATATCCATGAAATATGGATCGCTGCTTCAACCTGTCTGATCCAGGCAGGCAGTTTGGAGATCACCAATCAAGAGCTCTGGCAGATCAGTCGCACGCTGCGGCAGATGCCTCTGAGGCCCCTTTTTGATGCGGTCATTGAGTCATTGACCCTCGATACATCAGCAATTCCTGTTGGTTTCATAAGCCTGGAGAATGGTGATATGCCATGAGTCCCCATCAGTATCCCATCAAAAAAACCTGGGTTTTTGATGGTTTTTGATGGTTGATCACAGTTTTTCTTGGTGAAACGACGGGGTGTTTGTTCGTTGGTCATTCCTATTTTTGTTGAAAACCAATCCATTTTTTGATACACATTATGATACACATTACATTACTGTATATACCATTGCAATTCCATCACAACCCAATTATTCACTTGGCTCATCACAGAGGCACAGCAACATGCGTTTTGGTGAGCGACGCAGTTGTGCTCAGGCAGGTCTCATAGATGTTCTGGGTGCAGGACTGGGGTTGTTAATGGTTGGTATAGGTTGATATGGGTTAATAATGGTTAATAATGGTTGTTTATGGGTACTACTATGTACTACTATGGTTGTTAATAATGTTAATGGTGGTGAATAATGGTTGTTAATGGTGGTTAATATGGTTGGTATGGTTAATAATGGTATAGCTATGGTTATTAATGGTTGTTAATGGGTAAAACTATGAGATTTCAACCTCCGTAAGTTGGGATATGGGGCCCCTAGTACTATGCCTAGAGGCTTAGAGTATCTCATAGTTAGAAAACTCACCTGTTAGCGAAACTGCACCCCCAAGCGGGAATACAAAAGGTTGTACAACGAAGAATTATGGGCACTAGCGTGTGTCTGAAAATTGGGGATACCCTCCAAATAACAAATCAAACTACAAGGTGGTGCTCCCCCAGTTATAAGTTGGTTTATAAACCATAGTAAGTATAGATATATCTACCATAAACCATAGTTATTGGATTTATAAACCATTTTAGCTAAGTATGGGGCACCACCTTGTATGGAAGAATGATGATGAATCGCTTGATTTTGGCAGTACCCCTATTTTCAGACACACAAATTCATCGGGTTTTTAACCAATTGGAAATAAGGGTATAACCAACAATAAATGGAGACATATAATGATGGAATATGTAGCTTAATGAACGGATTTTTAATTCTGTTGCCAACATGCTAAATAGTTGTTCGACTAACAACATATGGTGGTGATTTAACCATCAAAATGTAGATATATTGGGAATATTTGGATCAACCAATATAATCAGATATGAGCTGGTTAGAAGGGAGCAAAAGATCCGTGGGTGTCCATATTCCCAATTAGATGGGGAACCAAGGAGCTACTAAGAGTTTCCCAGTCGCATAATAGTGAAGTAGCGAACGTCAAATCCCCATTTTCTGAGTTTATATGTCTGGTGGATACTTCAGAATTTTTCATATCGTGTGGATTCAATCCAATTCAATCCCAATCAAAACAAACTGGTTGGTGGTTTCAACCATTTTCGATTTTCCACAAAAAGAATGGGATATGGGATGTCATCCTTCCCATTGACCTGCATATGTTTCAAGATGGTGAAGTTGCACCACCAATCAAAACAGTCAGCATGGACGAAAGTCGTGTGGACGAATAGACCCTGTACTTAATTCCTCTGTGTGATTCACCCCATTCTTTCTGGGTTTATACCCTCTGGTTATGTCAAAATAGCTATAGAAAATCACCATGTTTAATGGGAAAATCAACTATAAATGGCAATTTTCAATAGCTATGTTAGTTTACCAGAGGGTATATTCAATAGCCATTTCAGGTACCGATTTATTGGAGGTACCTACCATAGAAAAAAGGCCTGTGTAAGGGCTAAAATTCAACCTATTTATCTGAGATGTTGGCTTACCCCCCATGTCTGGAGATGATGGTGCTTTATCCCTATTGTTTTCCCATAAGTCACAGAATTGGATGATGAGAAAATTTACAGGAAACCCCTATATTTGATGGTAAAAACCATGGTTTCCGGTTAAGATTTTCCCAACAAAACCAATCCAATGGATAAGTTGTTGCTGAATTCCTCAGTTCCAACTGAGCAAGCTTTGTCACAGCAGGCTGCAGAGGAGTTAGAGAAGCTGCCTTTGCAGTTGTGCGCCTTCCTCGGGCGTCACAGGCGAGGAATCTGTCAGGTTTTTACGGTGCTTGGGAATTGGTGAACCGCTTAGAGATAAATGGGGCTGAGATACTCTCTGGTACTTTAACTGCTTGGTGGTTTGGAACATGAAATTTATTTTTTCCATATGTTGGGAAGAATAATCCCAACTGACTTTCATCATATTTTTCAGAGGGGTTGAAACCACCAACCAGTTTAATATGGCGCTGGAAAATTATTGAATCCCATCTATAGATCGTTTATACCAGAAATATTGATTGCCCACTATTTCTTATAAACAAAGTTTCTGGTCCAGTTTCTTACCAAAATTTTGATTGTCCAATATTTCTTATAGCTATGTTGAAATTACCCGGGGCTATGAGGTTCAACAAGTTCAACAAACGCGGAGATATTTCATGGGGATCCAATTCAGACAGATTGGGGAAAATCCTGTCTGCGCTCTTGGTGATGTGGAGATGTGGCTCGCAAAGCTGCCGTGCACCATCTTCTTCGTCGATATGGCCGAGTGGCAGACCCCGGCGCTCCTGGAGATCCTCGGCAAATTTCCGCTCCTAACTCGAACCAGGTGAGTGCCAGTTCCAGCTTTGCCGATTTGGCCACCTTCTTTGCAAAATTTGTTTGCGGCGGCAAGAAGCTAAGTCAGCTGTGCGTGCAAAAATAACATCCTTTCCAGTATATGGTTGATCCAAAGAGCTACAGCTTCATGCGCCAGTGGTGGCATGTGTTCCCGGTGGCAAAGCGGGTCTGGCAATGATACTTCTGACAGACGTGACAGATCGCCTTGGATGTAAGAGGCCACCTTTTCATTGCACAGCAACAAGCTTTCGTTCAAAACAAACAAAGACTGTTCCCCTTCTCTATGGTTGATAACAAATTTGTAGCTTGAAGCGCCATTGTATCGAACATGGGGATAAAATCGACAATATACAATATACAATGTATATAAATATATATATATATATATATTAGAAGGGGACTATCATGGAATGCATTTGGGTAAACCTACTGGTGAAAGGTAGCTTTCTACTTTGACCCTTTACTACCATAAAGTCAGAATTCCTATTAAACATAGATTAAATATGATTAAATCATATTAAAACCCACTAAATATCATTAAACATCCATTAAATACCCATTAAGTATCCATTAGAACCTCTATGAAAACTGATACTTCTTCAAAGTCTCCAAGATCCGCCTTTCTATGAGTCGATTTGCTGTTGTTCCCATATTTGGTGGCTTATCTACCGATTTTGAAGGTGGGTAAAACAAAGCCACAAACCATCCCCCACATCACCATGAATAGGTGGTATAAACCATTCCCAAATGGCTGGTGGTTTATGACATTGTTTTACGCACATTAATCAAACGTACAATTCCATGGCTGGGGGTTTCCTAATGGCTGGGGGTACCCTTAAAAATCATCCATTTTTTGGACATGTTAATTTTCCATTAGCCATCCATCTTGGGGTACCCCCATTTCGCCATACATCGGAGTATTCCCTAAGTCAGTGGGAATTTCAGGATCCTAAAATGGAGGTACTGTACCCTATTTCTGGCCATATTTTATGGGGATATTCCCTAAAAAATAGTCCTTACATATATAGGCCAAACGTATATGTGCAATGATCAAAAGACGCTATGAAAGGCTTCAATTACGATCCGCCATCACTACTCAAAACATGCGATTTACTGTGTGTAGCGATAGGGGGCCTTATGTAGCGATACCTCTTTTTAGACTTTGTTTATGATTGAACTTTCCTGTTGGGCGCATGACTTTCCAATCTTTTGATGTCAGAGTGCGACACTGGAGCAGTCGCAGTGGGCTGGTCTTCCTGGGTAGTTGCAAGATGGCCTGTCGTCAAGTATATATGAGATAGTTACATTAAACAATGTTGATATATTGGGGTATGTTGATCTATAAGGTATGCAAGAAACTAATTCATAACGCATCATGAGCTTGATGATGGTGATGATGCTGATGATGATGGTGATGGTGATGATGTTGATTCAGATAGTGACCGTGCTGAGATATGTTGAAAAAGCATCCTTGTGCGGTCACGGACGCTTCTCCAAAGCCACTGTCCAGGAGTAGAATTGCAACATGGAGCTTGTCAGAATTTCGTGTCACTTGAAACATACCCCTGAGATCACACATTTTCTGGTCCCCGTAGCGATGCCCGAAGCGATACCCCTCGATACCCAGAGCGATACCTGAAATCCATGAAATTAGGGAGTACCCCACATGGTCACTTGAAACTATACAACTTGTGCTATAGGTGGAAAAATATGGGAAGTATGAACAAGGGTACCCTCAAGTTCTTAATGGGTTAGTTCTTAAAGGGTTCATTTGGTCAGGGTTTTGCCGATTCATTTTGAGGTGGTATTAGGTTGCAAAGGAGGCGGGGTGAAGAAAAAAAGGCGCCGGAAACAAGGCAGCACAGGCAAGACAAGCCAAGACAAGCCAACACAAGCCAAGGACAGCCTCTGAGGTCAGATGACCTGCAGTGAGTCCGGCTGGTGTCTAGCTGAAGCTGTCGACGTCAGCCTTGGTGATCACGTAAAAGTTTGAATTTCCCTGGAGCCTTGGTGATCACGTAAAAGTTTGAATTTCCCTGGAGATACCAGCGCAAAAGGAATAAGAATCCGATTCCTCATCTGGATCCTCCTCTTCTAGCAGCAATTCTGCCTAGTTGGTGAAAAGGGTGCTGGGACTGTGTGTAGCGATAGGGGGCCTTGTGAAGCGATGCCCTGACCTCACCACATGAATTGAGTTTTGATGGTCGCACATATGGGATTGGTACCTCCGTCCTCAATCGGTTCCTGAGTCATGGCCATTGACTAAGATCAACCGCCCAGGACAGCTACCACAACCACCACAGTGCCCGCTGTGACGTCGCCGTTGGATAGCCATGTGCTTTGGGGCCTGGGTTCACAAAGCACGTACCTTGGGTGAATTCGGTTGGTTGGGATAGAACGAACTGCTAAAAATGGGGAGAATCTAAACCAACACAAGTGGTTGGTGGTTTGGAACATGAATTTTATTTTTCCGTATATTGGGAATAATCATCCCAACTGACTTTCATATTTTTCAGATGGGTTGAAGCCACCAACCAGATAAGTGGGAGGGGCCTCACCTTGTAGCTCAAGCATTTATTTTTGAGGTGAAATGGGTCGAGGATTGAGTGAATCCCCACGAGCCCTACGCTTGACCCGTTACAACTGGAGAACCTCCGTTGCTGACGAATGTCAGAGGATCATCCACGTCATGACCAAATCAGGCTTTGGATTGATGATTAATGAGTTAATATTCCAGGATGGATTAATGAGATCTGCAACTGTTGCCTGAAAATCCGAAGCCTTATAATTTGTTGTTGGAAATTATGCAGATCACAATCTGGGGAGAAGATAGGTTTCATGGAACAACTCGAAACATGCGTCCAGGATGTTAGTTCGATGATGTTTTCTCACAAATTCCAGATTTTCCAACTTTTTAAGAACTTTTCAACATCTATTTGGGGGCTCCTACATTTGAAAATCTGGAGGAATCTGCTGGTCTCCCAGGAAACTCTTCCTACAGCAATGTGGCCTGGCACCTTCGGGGTATCTCGGCATAATCATCATCATCCCAACTGACGAACTCATCATATTTTTCAGAGGGGTAGGTTGAAACCACGAAGCAGTTTTTATATCGTTTTTATCTTGGGGGCTATAATAGTCAACTGGGAATCCTCATCTGTTTGGAATATTTTTTCAAAAAGCAAGGCCATAAACCAAAAAATAAAGCTAGCATTTGGGAACGGTTTATACATAGCATTTATGCTGTTTGTTTTTCAAAGGATGGTTTATTGTGGGGTTTACCACATGAGCCCAGAGACTTGTAGATTTTCAGTTAAGCCCAGGTATTAATCAATGGGTTTGGCAATGTCAATGGTCGAATTTGTGATTTCACATGAACCCAGACTGACGATTGAACTTGAAATCACTAGGGGGAAAAAATTGCACATGGATCCGGGAGTTGTTTCAAATCTCCTTTCGGTCCAGTTGAATAACCCCCCCATGAATGTGACGTTGAAGGAATTATCAGAAATCCCTGAATCCTACGGTAGAAGTTATTGTATGAATTGTTCCACCCAAGAAGTTTAACAAAAAAGTGTTTGTTAAATCCTAGAAGTAGAAATAACTACATTTGTTGGTTAAAACTTGGTTGGTTCTGACGAACTGCAAATGTTTGGGTTTAATCCTCAATTCAAGTCATGTAATCGCTAGTTTTGAGCCCAAACTTTGGTGTCCAGGTTCATTTTGGCATTTTTTTCCGGTAACATAAGCATGGCAAAAAATCATGAAGAAAACCCGTATGATTTGAGATACAAGCTCTATTGGCAGAAACCAAGCACATTAAATGGGGAATGATAACCATGAACACTGTTCAGATTTGGCATTAACACACGGCAATTAGCTAAAAGAAGGGGGAATCAGTTGGGAGTTGGTCCAACATGAAACCAATGGTTAGCCTAGTTGTGAACCAACTTGCGTATTGTTTAGGAGCTCCTTCGTGTTGGGGTATACCACAATTCTGGACACGCCATACGATTTTTTGTTGGTTCTATGTGAAAAACAATACCCTTTGGTAAACTAACACATGGAAAATCACCATTTTTAATGGGTAAATCCACTATAAATGGCCATTTTCAATAGCTATGTTTGTTTATCAGAGGGTATTGGATATGGATTTTGCTGAAGCTAGGGTACAACAAAACCTCCTAGATAATGAGGTTCCCGTCAAAATTGCAAGTATTATTGGGTATCCCTCCTTTTTGGTCAAACCCATACGTGGCCTTAGAATGGTTGATGTCATACCTCTGTGATATATTGGTTAAATGTTTCTATTATATATTTGTTCTATAGAATGCATGGGTTTGTTGCAAGTAGGGCACCCACAAATTTCTACAATGCTTCTTCATGGTTTTTCTCGGTTTTTTTCATGGCCGTTTGGTAAGTTCAGACACGCCCAAATCATACATTGCCCGGAAACTGGATTCATGACATCCATGGTGTATGTTTGAAGGGATCGGTCATCAGTCGATTACCCTCTTGTAACCATACAAAAAACTATGGAAAATCACAATCTTTTACTGGGAAAATCAACTATTTTTACCTGACCGTTTTCAATGTGGCAAAGTGTTGACATAACCAGAGGGTTTCATGGGATTTCTATAGCCATCATAGATGTTCCCCGTGATGGGATTGATGAGCCATTCGATCCCAAGGCTACTGAGCAAGACGATGGAAGAGCTGGCCATTGAAGCCATCGACCGCTTGCTGCAGGCTGTTGGGTGGGGATGAGTTTTTTCTGTGGCTTCAACGTGGTTGCCATGTTTGATGAGGGTACACATATATTATATACATATATATATATTATACATATATATAATATATATATATACACATATTACATAATATCATATAATCCCATCCACCTAATATTAAACACCCCATTGTATGGTTCCAAATATGTGTAGATTCGCCACTCAATCATGGTTCATGGGGGGTGTTGGCAGCGTTTCATTTATCAGGATCGGTCAACCGGGTAGATAGTCATGGAGGGTACCTTTCTTTCACCACCGAGGAAGTCATAGAAAATTTGGGAACGACTCATCACCTTCATCAAGTGCTATTGTACCCTCTGGTAAACCTTTACGTAACTATGGGAAATCACCATGCTATTAATGGGTAAATCCACTATTTCTATGGCCATTTTCAGTAGCAAACTGTAAAGGTTTACCAGAGGGTATCTGTTTCTTCTTTTCGATACCAGAATGGCTTGTCACGTCAGATTCACTACAGGGACTCCATGTGGAAAAAGGTTTTTCGTCAGATTTCAGTCTTGTAGACCCACAGCTGTTTCCCAAGGTTTGGAGCTGGAAAACATCAACATGACTCTGTTTAATGGGAAATATAAGTATATGGATAATGGAATATAACTATATCTGGTTGGTGGTTTCAAACATGAATTTTGTTTTCCATAATTATATGGGATGTCATCCTTCCCATTGACGAACTCCATCATTTTTCAAGATGGGCACATTGCACCACCAACCAGCAAGGGATTCGGAGATTTTATTCTGAGGTGCAGCCCCACCTTATGACGTGTGATTGGGGTTTCAATGGTCTTGAACCTCAGCCGAAAAAAACATTTCTATCAGTTCCAAAAGATAATTAGTTTTGTTGTGTATGTGTTGATGGTTTCTACTGTCCTGGGTAGGAAGGGACCTCTCTGTTTCCTTGAATTATAATTGTTTTTAGATATATTATATACATATATACAATTTGTTGACACATTATATATATAAAACCTCCATTGCAAAGAACCCTTCTCTTGAACATGTGTTTGGATTATGTTATTTCCAGGCAAACACGCATATACTATGGGGGTACATGGTACGGGAGCCCCTTTGGCATCACTTTTCAAGCCCCCAGTTTTGGGCCCCCACCGGCCATGTTTTGTCACACTATCTTCCAGTTGTGCAGTTTGAGAAAATTGGCATGGAAGCTGTCCAGACGGCATGGCTTCTGCAGCTAGCACTGCTCACAGCTCGTCGCAGAAAACATAATTTGACTATATCTATAGCCATGTCGTCTGCCGCCGCTGGTATGGAAAGGGATGCTGCGGAAGGTGCTGCTGTAGCCCATGTGCCCGGGATGGATGACCGTATAGCTGCTTTGAAAGCTGAAAGGCAGGCCTTGAAACGCCAGCTGCAGCAAACCAGTCGAGAAGTCAAGGCCCAGGCTGGTTCAATTTCATCCTTGTGTGCCATGTTTGTGTTGGTGAAGCTGTATTGACATTCCATCGTGCCACTTGCACCTTCATCTTTCCCATCTCAAGCTTTTTTTGGTGAAGCTGCATTGCACCTGCATCGCACCACTTGTACTTTCAATCTTTTTGTTTCAGCTCTGTGCCAGGAGAAAGAACGACGCAGAGTCCTGAAATCGGCGGGCAAACTGAGCACCCAAGACCTCTCGTGGCTCCTGGCCTTCAAAATGACCCGTCAGCAGTAGCAGCTTCTTCAAAACTATATGTCTCACTGAAGCACTTGTGACTGCTGTCTCCCGAGGAGTCAGCAGCAGCTTCCTCAAAACTATATGTTTCACTGAAGCACTTGAGACTGCTGTCTCTAAAGGAGTCAGACAGGAATGTGGTGAAGTCACACGCGGCAGGTTACCTAACGACTGCTGTCTCCCAAGGCATCAAAAACACGTTTTTGCGTGCTTTGGCACCTGTTTTTGCTGTGGCCCCAAAAAACTACTAAGGATACTTCCAACCATTTTCGCAGACTTTGTATTGGCACGGCAGAGTCACAGCTCATGCACGCATGAAAAACTACTAACCCGTGAAATTGAAATCACAATGGCTTGGACGCAAAACTACTAAGGATTTCTGCCAATTGAAAAGAAATAGAAGAAAGTGTTTCCTTTTTTGTCCATTGAACAATTCCTTAGTAGTTTTGCCACCGAGCCAATACAAAGTTTGAAATTCCCCTTAGTAGTTTTCACACAGAAGCATAGTAGTTTTGCGGCAGAGCCAATATAAAGTTGTGACATCGTGCTTAGTAGCTTCACACGGAAGCATGCTAGTGTTGCAGTGGAGCCAATGCAAAGATTGACATCGCCATTTGAACCTTTTAGCCTTGCAGCTACGATGTGCCAGCTGCAGTGCTGGTCTGTGTTTCTACCTAATTACTAATTCAAAAGCCAACGGCCAGTGAAGCATTTCATCTTGCAGCTGTGATGTGCCACCTGCAGTGACGGCACATGTGTTTCTTCCTAATTCAAAGGGCCTTTCCGGCCACATGTTGGCCCCCCCCTGCACCCCCCGGAATCAAGGTTGACGAAAATGTCTTGCTGTGAAGACCTGACGCTTTGGAAGTTGCCTGCTGCAGTGATTAACACCAGGAAACAACATTGATCCTGGGGGTGCGGGGGGGGAGCCGCTGCTGTGACCCTATACGTGGGGCCTCGTGCTGTGTGTGCAAAAGGTCTGAATTTGGGGTCGCTAACGGACGCTGATTTCAGCCCTCTTCATTGAGGGCCCTCCTTGTGACAACACAAACCTGCATGATGTGGAGAGATAACCAGCAGTGTTTTTCCATAACAGTGTCATAACACAAACCCACATGATTGGACGGCTCATCATCATTGTTCGGTCTTGCCTGCTCCTCACAGGTCGCCTCTCCTCGATGTTTTTTCCTGGACGCAGCCATATGAATCAAGTCTTGCCGCGCTGACTGCATGCAACAGCAATATAGTTTTTGTTTTTTGCATGAGCCAGACATGAATTTGTATGCTTTGAAATGCCGAGGCCATGCTTTGGCCGCACTCATTAGGTCATCTTCCTTGCTTCCATTCGAATTCAGCTGTATCAGACAGCATTGGTTTGACATGACACGAATGTTTTCAATGAGTCTGCCGACAGATAGTTTTTCTGCGGTCAGTCATGCAGCCGCCCTGTGGTGTGGCCGAAGGCACATCTGATGCCAGGGTGTCAGACTTGAAGGAAGCCTTGGTGCAGAACGGCAAAGCACTGAAAGCGGCTTATCGGCAGAATGCCAAAAAACGGAAAAGGTTGCACTGTGCCGGCCTTGGAGTGGCAGCCCGCAAAACTGTGGTAGCTGTTTACATGCTGTCGAATTTTAACATGGATTTGACTCTCCGCATGGCTTGTGCTTTGACAACGATATCCTATGGCAGCAATGGGTACCCACGGCAGCTTTGATCCAAGAGATGTTGCTGACGACGCCGCTGCCAGATTTGACCGCTTTGGATGACACAGCTTCACGCAAAGCGCAAGCCTTCCTGGCCGAAGCAGCCACGGAGCAGTGGGTCTATGACTGCAATACGAATCATTGTCAAGCACCTTCTGCGATGGACACGTTTTTGAAGTGGGAGGAGGCCTTCCATGGCCAGAAGCTGGACATGGGTGTGCCAAACAAACGCATGGTCAATAAGTGGGTGCAGCGCTGGCGGGCTCGGTGGGGCGTCCGCCGGAAGGTGCTGAAGCAAGTTGTTAGCAGAGACCCCGCTGTACTGCGCGACAAGGCGCGGGCCAGCCAACTTACAACATTTTGTCTTCTTTTTTTGGGTTGGGTGGCTCCATTTTTGGGGCCGGAATGTGGCCCCAAAAATGGGTCCCCCTCATGTTTCATGCCTGTATAAGCCTACTTAATCCCGGTTGGGCGGTCCCATTTTTGGGGCCAGAATCTGGCACCAAAAATAGGCCCCCATTTTCAATCAATTTCTTCCCTCGGAATTATATTTGGGGACCCTATATATAATAAGGCTTTGTCTTTCACTTCCTGCAACGCTCGAGCAGGTCATGACATTTTGGCGGACCATCTGCTATTGCCACAGCAGGTTCGCAGACAGGGAGCTACTTTTTATAAATCTGGATGAGACTAGCGTCGGCCACACCATGACACCGCCTATTGGATGTGTGGCAAAGCCACGGACAGCAGGTGGCAAACAGCCGCATGCACAGGTGCTGAAGCAACATGTTCGAGGTGCGTGGACTTATGTCAGCGTGATTTGCAACTGCAAGCACATCCAAGGGAAGTTGCCTCATTTTCTCATTGGCACCCAGGTGAAACTCACGAAGAAGCTCTTGCGCGCCCAGCGCGCTTTGCCACAAACTCGTTTGCGTGTTTTGCGGCAAAAGTCCGCTTGGACCTCTGCTGCCAACAGTGCCCAAATTCTCAAAGAGATCGCAGAAGTGCTGAAAAGTTTTCCGTCAAAACAAGGCGTTGTACTCCTTGATTGTGCGCCGGCACACCTGCCACGGCAGGTCATGGCAATGGCACGCAAGTGCAAGCTGCAGCTTGTATATATCCCAGCGCAGACAACGGATTACCTACAGCCGCTTGATCTGCAAGGCTTCTCCCCTTTTAAACAATATTTGAAAAGGAAGCACCAGGAGTTGCGCTCATATTCAGAGCATGGTTTAGTGCCTCCTCTGGCCTGGCTATGGCAGTGCATGCAAGCCCCTCACGAATTTTGGGCAGCTCGGCAATGGCAGAAAAGCTTCGATGCAGTGGCCAGGTCAAGTGCACAAAGCGCTTCAACACTTGATGGGTGCAGGGGTGCCTTGGCCTGGGCCTGACAGGCCGACACCCCAGCAGATGCAGTGCGTTTGGCCAGCGCGACGCCAAATGGCGCACGCGTATAAGGTTCTTTTTCTTTGATGCTGCCGCTCCGGGTGGATCCAACAGATTTGCAGACGTGGGTGGCACTATAGGACAAAGATTTTTTTTCCATAATACTATGGGGGTACATGG